GGGGGGGGGGGGGGGGGGTGTTCCTCCAGCGTGGGACCCAGCATCGCGGAGCGAGTCTCGCACCCTTCCCCGCGACCCCCTCCGCTCCACCTGAGGTAACACTTTCTCACGATTCGGAAGTCTATCGGAATTCCCACAACATTCCCCTCCCCCCGCCGGCGCTGCCCCCTGCGCGTAATTTAATTTCATCTCGTATCCATGTTTTATTGCCTCCGCTCCGCCGGTGTCAGTCTTGTGCAGTTACCCGGTCCGGACGCATCGACCAGTCTCCGGTACGTCCGCGCCCTTCGAGCATAGCCTCGCGAATTTTCGAGCGCAATTTTTTTGGGGTTATCACACGTGGTTTTACGCACTATCGACAAGTTACGTCGACTGATATCAGTTCTTGCATGAATGTTTTGAGGTTATTCCGTGGTGTTATCAACGGCGCTTCCGGTTTTGGATCCCCCCTCTTATCACCTACGCGTTTGTGATAAGACGAATCTTTGTTAATTTTTGCCGGTTTCTCACGAAGATCGGAGTTTTTCCATCGAAATTTGTTGTGTTTAGACTAAACTGTTTGTTATCGCGATTGTTTTGAAGTCCGTCTAAATTTTTTTGGTTCGCTCTCTTATCACCACTTCGTTTTTGATAAGGCGAATTCCCTTCGAATGGTCGGATTTTGTGCGCATTGAATTTCGACACGAGTGAATATTTCATTTATCACGGATTGTCATCAACTTCATCTACGTTTTTTGATACTTTTATCTCCGGTTCATTACTGATAAGAGGAAACTTTGCTCGGTGATTTTTAAAGATCTTTTTCGATTGAATTTTTTTATTCAAGTTCTCACTATCCTTACGGGTCGTGCGCATGTGTTTGTTATTGTTATAAAGTTTTATCTTCAATTTTTAAATAATCTGAAAGATTACCTGCCACTGTTTTGGTCGCAAACAGCTGCGGAAGTGACTGATTTTGTCGAGCGCACCCCAGCAAGTTGTTCAGATTCTTTTTTCACCGGAAAATGAGTTTGAAGTGCCTTATGTTTTATTATTTGCCCATTGCTTGGAACATTTTTGTGGTGGTAAGCTTATTTTTGTGAAGTACCCTCAATCAGAACACGAGGTACTCAAAATTCATAAGTAAAAAAACCCAATTTGCTTGAATTCGAAATACTTGCTCTCGTGAGTGTCGACAATCTTTTTGTGCTAGTTTCGCCGTTCACAAACCGGGAGGTTCCTTTGCATAGCCTTTTCGTGGAAATCTGTAAGGAATACTCTCAAGATGCCTATCAGCGAGGACGAATTTGAAAGCAGGGTGCATTCGTCGAATCCTTTGGCTTATCATCATTATCATCAGCAACAACTCCAGATGGCCATGTCGAAAGCAGAACAGAGAAAGGTAATATTGTCATTCTGTTTTCTGAACTAATTTGTGTTAATAATCTTCACCAACAACTGATCGTGTATGGTTGGTTATCGAACACGCTAGTTGTTACTAGTAATTGAAAGTCAGCCGTTTCATAAAAACTAATTTCTAGAGTAACAAATGATCTACTTAAAACCGAACTCAAAATGATTACAATGTAAACGTTTTATCAATTTTCAACAATAAATTCGGGTTTTCATTTGCACGGAAGCTGACGTCAGGTTGCCAGGTAAGCGAAAAGATGTGAGTATTTTACATGGGTTTAAATTGGGAAAACTGCTCATTTTCAGTACTCTCTGGCAACAATGGCTGAGGTAAGGGCAGTGTTATACTCAACCTCTAGAGTAATGTGAATTTGAACCACTAAATGGACTGCATTTTCCAATAAGTGATCACTGTTTCTACCTCGTCCAAAATGGCACTTTGCGGCACGATTTGTTTCTACAAGTCAATTCCCTCACGAAAGAGCGTAACTATGTTTCCATGTTGCCAAAGTAGCCCTCGTCAATTGAATTTTTACCGGGAGAAAATCAGAAATGATTTTACCGAGGCGTTTCTAACTGCAAATTTCACTGATTTTTCTCCTGATCTCATGTGAAAATCGGACAAATTTTGAAGACAATTTTTACAAATATACTCTTGTGAAAAATTGAATTATTTGAAAAATTTTGCAACCTTGGAATATAGTTACGTTCCTTCGGCTGGGAAACGACGAAATGAAACATATTTTGTTTCTTGAATCTGTCGTATATGACGGTTCCTTATCGCGCAAAAGGTACAGTGTGAATTAATTGCACTACGCAATGAGTGGCGACTATTCCTATTCCTAAGTATGGATAATGAGGCTGTGAGGATGCCCGTGGGGTGCAGGCGATGGGAAATAGGGTGATGTACAAGTACATGAGGAAGTGCTGCTCAAAGGCACCTGTTGCGTCATCGCTGTCTCTTCCCTCCCCCTTCCCTACTGAGTGAAGGGGTCGAATACTCAAGGTCGTTGCACTTCCCGCTTACTTTTCTACTCTTGCGTTTAAGTCTCCTCGATATTCTCACGATCCAAATTGCAAATGCTTCCGTTTCGCGTCTTCGATGGATCGAACGGGTAAGGGGAAGAGAGAGGGAGCCTTTGAGACCATAACAGGGATGCAGTTCCTCGTATAATTAAGTGGTTGCGGCATTCGGCGGAAGGTGTGTGTATGAGAAACTTGTTCATGAAATCACTGAAATAAGCTGAGGCAAGCAAGCGTAAGCTGTGAGTTTACACTTGCAGGTTTGATCAGCGTAAGAGGGATTAAAAGCTCTTGTTGAAGTTTAATTTTTTTTTTTTTTTTCTCTCGTCCCACTTAAAAAGGGTCAACTGCATGCAGCTGCGTTATTTTTTCACGAATTGGGAATGATGTCCATGCAATTTTGAGTCGGTCTGAATTGTGTCGAAGAGAATCAGATGACATGTAATTTTGGCATGCTTGAGGAGACAAAAGAGGTCAATCTTAAGATACGTGGTGAAGTGGCTGGAAATATTCCACGGGGTAAAATGCATGACTATGATAAAACTTTTCAACGAAGTTGAATTTAAGTAAATATACACTAAAGATGTCTAAAAATAACGTTCACTGAGGGAAAATTTGTGGTCGGAAAGAAGACGGGTGAGAGTTCTAGATCTTTATATATTTTTTATTTTCACTCTATATATACGTGTATAAGCTCATAAGTGCCAACTAGAAGACCGTCGTGTTTTAATTATTAGAGAGACGCCATACCAAATTACAGTAATAAATAAAAAAGGACTGTATGCACCGGCTTCCAAGTCCAAAAACGCGAAGAGCGATTTCGTTCACGGTCATCGCTCACAAATTGTCAATACGTGTATATTTATTCTGATGAAAATCCGTAGAGACACGGTTCAAAATCACAAGGCATCTGCCGCCGCAAATGGACAAATAAATGGCTCCCTGCTCCACGCATGCCCGTCGAATTACGTCCGAGGAGTTTGTTGATCTCTCACGTCCAGAGTATGATGTACGTTTGTTGATATTCATTTCTCCACTGCTTTCAGACTCAGAGCTGGTAAAGAAACTTTAATAGGAAGTTAAATCATTCGATAGTATAATTATAATGTAGCTATGTTCAAGTTATGATGGTCTTTTTTCCGCGCGATGGCTCAACACATCACTTGCTGACTGACATCTTGCACAAATTATAGTTGCTTTTCAGGAGACAATGTATTATAGAGACTTCACGATGCTTTTTCTTTTGCGTTGTAAAATATTTCGGAGGCCAACATTCAGATTGTCCTTGTCATGACCCAAAATCAAAGTATTGCTTAATCGGTTTTGCAAACAATACCTTGTTTGCCAAACTTGCTCTGCTTGCCGATATTCTTGATCCATCATTCAGCAGGCATTAGTGAGCTCAGTTAGTTCCTCATCAATCATAATTTAGCGAGAAAATTGACTTTTGCTTTTCCGAACTACTTAGCTCTACGAGAAAATCTTTTTGGTGCCAGCAGATAACTTTCACACTTTAGGAGGTTATTATATCGGAAGGTTTGTAATGTAATTTGTCCTTGTTGATTATTAAAAGGATTTAATGAATGGTGAATAATAAGAATTTTTTGCTTGTTTCAGAACAACAAACCAATAATGGAGAAAAAACGCCGGGCGCGAATCAATAATTGCCTAAGCGAGCTGAAATCATTGATCCTGGATGCAATGAAGAAAGACGTAAGTTAGCCTCGCCAGTTTTTCTACCAAATGAATTCACACACTGGAAAAAAAAACACATCGGATCTAGAGTCCAGACTCTTGAAAACATTGACAAGAAAAAATACTCTTGATTCAATCAGATTTTTGTTTAAATCAAAAGGAAATCCGCTCAAATTAAGGGGCTTGGTCCTTGATTTAAACTTAAATCTGATTGAATCAAGAGTATTTTTTCTTGTCGATGTTTTTAAGAGTCTGGACTCTAGATCCAATGTGTTTTTTTCCCAGTGCGAGAAATTAATTTTTGAATGAAAGAGAGTAATTTTAATTTTTCAAATAAATTAAATTTCCACCCTTCCTCCTCTCTAAAGAAACTTTAAACAGGAACCAATCCAAACACCAATGTACAAAAATTAATTAATTTTGAAATCTGATTGCCTACGGGTCTGTAGCCTTATCCTCGTGATGCATCCCTTTCGATAATAGGCGTGGATTAATTAGAGGGTGTCAAAGGGCTGCCGACAAGTCCGTCATAGACGGCTCATTAGCAGTGGTGGGCGGGGAAGGGGTAGGGAAACAAAGGAAGCGTGACGTCAGATAGGTGAGATGGTCGGTGGGGCGGAGGGGTGGGAGGCCGGATGATGGGGGATGACATGGGGAAGGAGCAGGAGCCAGAGTCGGAGCGTGTATCGGAATGGGAGCCCCTGGATTCCCACGCTCCGTGTGAAAAAACCCCGCTCGGAATCGAAGCGGCACCTCAACAAGTCCCCGCCGCACTGCGCCGCTGCCGCCAAGTCTCCCCACGCACCTGGTCCCCCGTGTGAGGTGTGCTTTGGCGGAAGAGGCCGTATGACTATCAGTGGTGAGACATGAATGATCGATTATCGATATTTTCCTATTTGAAATTTGCACCCGAAAAAAGAACTTCTACTCCTCTTGCACAATGACGCGTCATTCACACCGAAAACAATAACAGCGATGGTAAAGTGCGACACCACGTATCTCCATTGCGGTGTTTCAAAATCTCCGCTATCGGTTCATTTTTTCGAAGAGGAGCGAGTCAACTTCATAGCTCGAAATTTTTACAAAATAATCGGCTAACAGAAAGGATAAGTCAAGGAAGTTTTCTGTAAATTACATTGACTACTTTTTTTTATAGAAAACGAAAGTTTGACTGGAATTCTACAACGTCGCGAACAGTGGTATACGTGGTCTCGCCCTTTAGCCATTGACATGTTTCAAATACATAAAAATTATATGTGTGAAGTATCGTTACTTCTTATCATTCAAACCAAAACTGAGAAAAATTTTCTTAACATTTAAAAGAGGCTTACCAGAGCTAAGAATGCTCGAACAGTTTTCTAGTTGTCAAAAAAAATTGGAATTATTTTTTAAAAATTTGTTTCTTAAAGATCAAAATAAAACGTTTTTGAGACTAACTTGCTTTCCGCTGTGCAACATTTCATTATTCGGGTGATAAGTGCCACGCAATCCATTCCGAAAGTAACCCCGCACCCCCGCCCCAGTAGGAAAAAAAAGAACCATAAACTGCAGTGGCGTGTCGTGTTTTGCAATGTATAGATTGATCTGCAATTTAAACCCATGGAAAAGGATCGATAAACAAATTCTTCACAACGGACACATCAATAATCGATTCTTTATCATCGCTTCAAATGGTGGAATCTCGACAATCGATCATTCACGCCTTGCCAAAAAAAGTCTCGAAGTAAACTTTTTTTGGGCCTCGATTGATAGGTAAGCATGTTCAAGGTATCTGTATTCGCGCGCTATGCCGATCAGTAAAGGGCAGAGATCAGGGC